CTACTAATTTAGATTATTTGATTTAGTTGGCTAATATATGTTCTGTAATTACATCTGGGTTGGGGGGGTTATTAAAAATTAAGATAGTGGCTGCAACTGTGCACTTGAAGTCCTACATCTTTTTTGACATGTGTTACATACATGTCACATATAATAAAGGGACAAGGCTTTGATTGTGCAGTTATAGCTCCCTCCTCTCCTGAATGTTTCTGTTTAGCTCCCTTTTAAAAATTTTAAATTAGTGAAGGCTGAGGAGCACAGCTGAATAAGGAGGTGCAACAGGATTCTGCCTTATTTAGGACTTGGAGCCCACTTACATGAAATACTGTATGAACAGAGCTAGCTACTGTTTCATTTGTATAATTAATTGATTTCAGGCAACTTAATACTTCTTTCATACTGGCTTAGCAAAGAAATATCACACTGTGTTATTAAATTTATACTTGTGTTATGTACAAAATGTTGCTGTCCAGGTGAAATCGTGGATCCTGTTACTACACAGGGATCAAATGTTACTGAAGGACCAGTGACAATTGCCCCTGCTCTCTCAATGACAGAAATACGGTCAGTGACATTGCTCACTTCTAAGTATACTGAAGCAACAGTGCTGCCCTCAAGTGGCATCCAGGAGTCAAGCACTCTTTCAGCAGACAAGACATTGTCAACGTCTCAGAGAATGAACATTTTAGGATATGTCAGGAATAATAGCACCTTGAGTATCCCAGAAACAGCTACTCTGACAGCAAAATGGTGGGGCAATGTAACAATCTCAAATGGAACTGTAGTTGAAGAAAGATGGACCACACAAGACCAGCACAACTCTTCATTGATCTCATCACCTGGAGTTTCAAACACCATAGCTTATCCTTTTAAGGGAAATGAGTCTGTACTAGAGGCAAGCACACCTGGCTTCTCAGTCGGAGGAAGATCTGAGAATGTCACAGCCCTGAATGTAACACAAAATCCCAAACTTCATGCTCTGAACCATACTCTTGATAGGGACATGGGGAAAAATAACAGCTCTTGGTCTGATGAAAGAAACAGTACGGCATTATCATCTTCCTTCAAGGAGAATATGACGGTCTCCCTTGTTACAGATTTGAGTGGTGAGTGTGCTTTTCTTCAGCATTGTCTTTAAAAGTAATACGTTACTACAATGAGAAAGGCACTGAGGTTTGGAAAATGGAAGAGAGTGACCGCAAGCCAGAGGACTGGTTCCTTTTAAATAAGTAAGATAAAATGTGTACTCAAGTTCTGATATTTTCATGGGATTTAAACACCTACCTAGCTCAATCAGTACTCTTATTTGTAAAGTGTATGTGGACAGAATGCTGAGTGCCATGAAGTATCTAATCACACGAGCAGGGTCATTGTAGAGGAAGAGTTTTCATGAAATCAATTATTCTTCCAAAACTGTATCACTTGTTGTTTAATTTCTTTCTTATGCATGTCCAAAGATTAAAGAGTGAGGTATCATCTAAACCAATTCTCTATTAGGGCCTGAGGAAAAAAAAATCCAAGCAACAGGTTCCTACCATATCAGAGGTACTTTTTAATAAACCATCAAACTGTTCATAAAACAAATGAGATAGATAATTCTAAGAACAGGTTTAATTATTTCCTCTTCTTGTTTCAGAGCCGTTTCCAGCTGAAAGAATTTTTTTTTCCAATGTGACGAGTACTAGCTTTCAGATTACCTGGACTACAAATTTTTCAGTGAATCCTGCTTTCCATTTTCTGCTCTTTGAGGGGGAACAGTTGATACAGAAGGTTAAAACCCAAAGCAGTAACCTGAATATTTCCAGACTAAAAGCAGGAACTTTGTACACTGTTAAAATAAAGGCAGACTTTTATGGAAGTGAAAGTAAACTTGTGCAGCGCAAAGTAAAGACAGGTAAAGCAGTATAAAATATCATAATGTACATGCTCCAGAAGTCCATGACAGAAAGTGTTGCTTTTCCAGTTTAGCATAAATAAATATGAGCAGACATTTAGTAACATCAGTAGTCTAGCATACTGGTATACTATTGTCTTTACAAACGTCCTTCCTATTTAGGCAATCAACTTTAGAGTGATTGCAGTTTGTGAAAATGTTCCACTTGGCTATATTAAGGATGTATGGAATTTATCAAGAAAGTCATCAAAATTATTGATTCTTCATGTGCAGGGGGCGGGATGGTGGTATCCAAAGTAATTATTATATAACACTGGAAAAATAAATGTATATCATAATTGCAGTAATGATTGTTAATATACGCTATTCATCAACATTTACATTTATTTTTTTAATACAGTAGCTACTTTTTAATAGGAGGGCTAAGAAAGAGGACTTTGGTGTTCCATTTGCTTGTTTTGTTTCTATTTTTTGAAAGAAATATATGTGATAAATATTGTTAGCTACTAATTTAGATTATTTGATTTAGTTGGCTAATATTTGTATAACATTAAAAGACGAATGTGATATTTTTATCATTTCATCACTATCTTGTTTTCATGATTATTTTTATTTGTTCAAAAGAGCAAAAAAAGTTCTGCAAATCTTATTACTCATTCGTAGGTACAAAACATTCAGATGGCAAGTATGAGTTGTCTGTCTCTAAATGTAAAATTGCTTCTCTTCAGTTGCTTTTAAGTTATTTTTTCAGTTTTCCATTTGAGATGTAAAAATGAGCTGACACTATTTATTTGATGTCCGGAGCTGGGCCCACAATCTGATTACTCTTGTTTTACCTAATAACACTTCCCTAACTGTGTCCCCTCCCCAAATCTTGCAGCTGCCCAAAAGTTTAATGGGACAGTTAGGATCGTGAATCTGAACTACAGCTCAGAGTTTAGCAACTCAAGCAGTGAAGAGCACCAAAATTTTACAGAGATGTTTCTTAATGAGGTAAGATGATGACGATGATGATAATGGTGGTGATGATGATACTTTTTAAAAAATGAGGCAGCTGTATTTTGGATATAATCATATATTTATTTTATCTGGTGTGATGTTTAATCTAGGATACAGGGTCCATGATGGAATGTGGAGTAATAATCCTATGGCAAATGTAACCTTAAGTTGCAACTTGTAAATTTGAAACAGGGATAAAAATTTCAGTACTATTTTTACTACTGAACCCTGTATTCAGCTTTAGACCCACAAATTCAATGACTGGGTGAAGGGAGATGGTGAACAATACCTATTGCCCTCATTCCCAGATTCAGTGCAATCCCTGGCTTTGCTTTATCTCCTTGCAAACACTTGAAGATGAGAATGAGCTGTCTGCACTCCCAAATTCCCATTGGGCTGCTTGGGAATGCAGTCTGAACACATCTAGAGGGCATCAAGTTGCAAAAGGCTGATACAAACTCCATTATGTGCATAAAACAGAAGTCAGGAAGTAGGACTAGTGGGCATAAGCCTATTCCACATGCATTTAAGGAATTCCTTAATATACAGTAAGAAAGTGGAACAAACTGGTTTTCTCGGGGAACAGAGTAGCCATCTCACATTCTTAAAGATTTCTTGTAATGGGAAGCAGGAATAACCCTGAGGAACAGGAGAAAGAGCCACAACCAACACAATGGTCAGGTAAAAGAAATCTGAGTCCGGGCCAGAGCTATAACCCAAGTAAGCATCTCAGACAAGACCTTCCCTAGTTCTCATGGACATAGTGGGGGGAGGGAGAAGCACTTTCAGACTTGTAAGATTCTGTTACTATATCCTTATAATCAAAGTAGTAATAGCATGCATGACTTTGGTTTCCTTTTCTCCATCCATCTAGGTCAGTGTTTCTTAAACTTTTTTCTCTCAGGAGCCTTTCCCGCTTTTAAAAATTATGGAGGACCCAAAAGAGCTTTTGTTTGTATGAGTTATATTTATCAATATTCACCATATTCAAAATTAAAATGGATGCATTTGCTGCTGCTACTGCTTCTCACAATTGTTTGATGGGATTTTAATATTGTATTGTTTTTCAACATAGGCTGGCAAATAATTTTTATTTCAAAGACCTCTGAGGTGGTCTTGTGGGACTCCGAAGGGTCCTAGGACCACACTTTAAGAAACAGTGATCTAGGTTATTAATAAGCAGCTAAATTACATATTACTTGCAATAACGAAGCGAGTATATGCCTATGGAAATAGTCTACTATCTCTACATGTATGTTATTGGTTTGTTTTGTTTTTAAGAAGACATATGGCTATCCTAATTAGAAAGATAGTTAAACAACACTGGTAGGTTATTGGGAAATCTTGTTTGATGCAAGATAATCCCATCTTCTGAATGTTCTGTACTGTTTTATTCAAAATGAAGTAAGTAAATTTCAGTATTTGATTTTTTAAACATCTGTGGATAATCCTGCAAATAATACAATTAAAATCATTCTCAGTACAAATATATACACAAATTCATGCACTCTGTTTTGGTAACAGGTCCGTACATCTTTGCCCCCTAATATTCTTCAAAAAATGGATGCTGGTATGATTAACATTTCAATAGTAAATATTATCCCAGGAAGCATAGTGGTAAACTTCAGTCTCCTGATGCCTGTAGACATGGATGCAAGGAATGTTTCCAGGTCTCTTCTTGAAGCTTTTCAGAACAGCAGCCTTTTCGTGGTTGATAATAGCAGTCTCTCCATATATGGTAAATAATTGTTTATTTGTTTTGATTTCATAGATTCTGAAAATGAGTAATTAAAACTCAGACCATTATATCACTTATAAAAAGCAAAACAAAATCCAATGAATGGAAAACTATTCTGGATCTTTTATTCTTTTGTTAGAGACCCTATCTACATAATTGGGATTTTCCTTCCTCTCCTCCAATATGTTTCCTCCAAATTCCCTTAAGAATATCCTCCAACTTTCTGGAGCATATTTAGATGATAGGGCTCCATGGGGGAAGCTACAGATGTCCACAAACTATAGTACCATTCCTGCACTGTAGAGATTCTTTTGCTCCTCACCCATTGCAAAGACAGGAATGGTCTTTTTTGTGATTACAGCGAAGACTTTAAAGATAGCACCTTATCATCACCGAGCGCTTGTTTTCTGCACTCTCTTTAACTTCCTCCAGTGGTAGTGGAGCTCGGAAATGACATCAAAATATATTTAGAGAGAATTCTGATTAAGTTTACTTCACCCTAACCCTTTGCATACAGTATTCACTTCTCTCATGGAGTTTATGAGGGTTATTCATAAATCATAGTACTGTGGTATTAGAATGATGTTCATTTCAAAAAGATGGCATAATCCTGCAACAGGCATATAAAATGTGCACAGTGTGTTATGCTTTCATAATTTTGTACTGAAATTTCATAACAAGTACAGAAAAATCTTAGGAACATATCAGATTACTGTATTGGCTATAACAATAAATACTACAATTGCCAGTACAATAAATAATAATCACAAACTCATGCATCACTGTTCTCTTTTATTATATTTTTAAAAACAGATTACAATGAATGTGAGAGAGAAGAAACAGATTGTTCTCCTAACGCATCCTGCTACAATATTTATGGATCTTATGAATGCAACTGCAAAGAAGGATTTATCAGTGTAAATGCTGAGAGACCTGGGAGAAACTGTGAAGGCAAGGTTTCAATATTTATTTTCATTTTCTTCCAACTCTGCTATTCTTATTGTCATGAAATTATTAGTTCACACTCATGGTCACCATGCAAAAGATTACATGCAGTATGTGGAGTTCTTGCCCACGGTGGGCAGGGTCCAGCCACTTGAACCTGCCACTGCAAAATGCCATGCTAACCCCTGTAGAATTTTCAATCTGATTTTGCTGTTAATATTTAGGTAGCCACAAATCTTTTCTAATGAAGTACTGACTTCCAGATACCTGCACTACTGATTATTAAGGGTGCCTTTAAATCCCACATGGCTCTTCTTAGGAAGTAAAGATGTGGATGGCACCTGGGAGCCACTGGATGCGTAAGAGCCATTACTGAGAATCCTAGAAGTTGAAATCTACACATCAGCCAGAGACCAAGCCTTGGAAAGGCTGAGTTAGAAACTGATGTTTTTGTCGGATGTGCTCTTCTTCAGCAGCATCCTCCTTCCCAGGAAAATAAAGGGGATTGTTGCTGACAGATAAAGGAAATATTTTGGGATGGTGGTAAAGATAAAAATTCTATTACTGTACATTGGTAATTTGAGAAAATTGACATAGGAACTGAATGATGTTGAGGGGGCTGCAGGTGAATAACAAATCCATCGTGTGGCCAATCTTTCCTTCAGTGAAACAGACTCCCAGTTTCTTTAGATCAGAAGGAAGAAGAGGAGGATGGGGAGGGTTAGGCTTTGTGTGAGTTTCAATGGGCTGGCCTGCTGAGCAGGATTAGGCCTGGAGGCTGATGCTTTTCATAACAAGAAACAAACTAAAAAACAGTGGTTGTATTGAGTGCCTGTATTTATTCCCAACCGGGAATAAATTTCAGTTCATTCTTTTATCAAGGAAAAGTGTAAGCAAACATAAGCAAACATATAATTAAATGAACTTAAAGTGTCAGCAGTCCTTGGCAAGGATAATCTGCAGCATAACTAACATTATAACAATGTTACCAAAATAATTAAAAAATACATTATAAACATAATAGGTATCCTACTGCTATAATATAAGATGTTGGCCAAACATCTTCCATGAATGAAGCTTAAATAAAATTTCTGAAAACTGGTTCTTCATCCCTTTCAAATAACTAGCGTTTTCCCCCCATTTTCCCTCACTTTAGAAACAGATAAAACTCACATC